CTACTTTCTGCCGGGTGCTTGCCGGGTTTGTACGGAACCTCCAGGATATAAGTATTGTGAAATCCATGCTGCCTTTTGAGCTGTGACTTTCAGGTTGGACCTGATCCTTGTGGCTTATTTACAATTCACTTTATAAGGACATGTTTTGTCATCCCCCAACACATCTCAGGGGACTCGCCAATTCATCCCCCAACACATCACATCCCCCCACTCATCCCCATATTCTGACCGTGTCTCACATGGCAGAGTGATGAGCGGGCAGGACACATCAGCTTGAAAGTCACATCTCAACATGATCATGCGACTTTGCGGTGCAGCATTCAATTGAATTCGCTTCTGGCACGCATTGCAAAAACGTCTCCGTGCTCAGGAAGCATCCCGAGGATGATTCGAGCCAGGTGGCTGCGCAGGAGGAGTCCATGTCACAATCTGCCCTGGATTTTTGCCATGTGGTCGTGGCGCACGGTGTTCCAATGCAACCTCACACATGTGTTGGCGACTTGGAGGGACGCAGCTAGATGGCTAAGGAGCACAGTGCTTTTCAGCAAAACCTGGACAAAAACTGTTGGCTCGACTCAAGTCTCCTCAGCAGGACCGGCTGGCATGACATCGATTGACCGTACATGAAGCAACTGGGCGTATGGTGCCCACGCGCATCCCTGCGTTCTTCTACTACAGAAACAATCTTCGCAGCCCAAACCATGTCGCTGCTTGACTTTATTCAGACAAAATGACTCCTGCGACCATGCCTGATCACAATCACAGGCGCTAATATCATCAGCGTCACCAGACCTCTTGAACAGTAAGCAAGTGGCAACCATGACTTCAGGGTTTGAACCTAGAAGAGCATGAACAACTACGTATCAGGTAATTTGCAAGTGGGGCTTTGGGATCCTCCTCATTGTGTCAACAATGGTTCTTTCAGCGCTTTCGCTGGCTGTCATGCAGAACTCTTTGCAACGCTTTGGTATTCTCCCATAAACAGCTTGCCAGATTGAGACTGGCTCAGCTCCGCATACGTCGCTGGGACCCCGAAGGTACCTGCTGACACTGGCTACAGAGAAGGGCTAACACAGAGAAGCTGCACTTCATTTCCTTGGGCCAGGGTCAGGCAAGGCATGGAGAACAGCTGATTGCAGATAGCAACAGCGCAATGTCAGGGACCAAAAGCTAAAGCCGGGCTTGGCCCTGAGATTGCAGAGATTTGGCTCGATCCTGTGAGCCTATATTGCAAGGCTGAGGCACTGGCGACTGGGTGACTGGGGTGTGTTTCACCAATCATGAAAGCCAGTCTGACCGGTTCAATCAGGGCCGCTTCACTACAGGCACACCCCCGCCAAAAGCTATGCAACACTATGAAGGGCCCGTCAGAGGGGGGAGTGCTTTCTGCTGTTTCTGCATATGCCAGCTGAAAGCCATAATCATCTTGAGTTGGCTTTTCCACAGTCGGCAGTTGCAAGCCAGAATCAAAAGCTCCAGTCGTGCTTGTTTGCCCCTTTGGTTGCTACAATGGCCGCAGCGCCGATTCCATGTTGCAGCGTGGTTGATTTCGCTAACTCACAGCGTCTTTGTTTGACTCAAAGGCATCTAACACCAATGGCAGGAGTTATTTTCCTGGCAATGGCCGCGAGCTGTGCGTTGGCTGCGCGCGAGGCCTGTTCTGACTGAACGTTGAACAGCGTGGGAGGAGCCTTTTCGCTTCTTTCCGAGTGGGAACTTGGTGACCTGCTGCTAAAGCGCCATGGCTGTGGCGTCTCAAGACTTGCCTCGACAGGTACGCGCCGCTTCTGCCCTGCACGCCCGTGACGTCTGCCCCGGCCTCCCAAGAAGGGTTTAGGGTTTAGGGTTTAGGGTTTAGGGTTTAGGGTTTGACCTCGAAGCGGCGCGCCTCGACCCAGAGGGTCGCGGGGCGGCGCGCCGAGGCGGCTGCTTCAACCCACCCCAATACCGCCCAGAGACAAATCTTTTAGGGTTTAGGGTTTTAATTTGGACCCCGGCAGGGCGAGTGATGGAAGCGCTTGATTGCGCGAAGACAACAAGCCCGCGGCGCAAACGCTTGAAACTCGCATCTTATTATGCGACGGCTTGAGCTCCGCCAGGAGCTGGGGCGGGTCGAGGCTGGGCGCCAGGCGGCGGAAGAGCAGAACGTGATGGAGGACCTGTGGGCCGGGCCCACCGCTGCGCACACGCACGCTGGCTCGAAACACGCCGATGGCAGGCGGGCTACTGCCCGGCGGCCGACCCCACACTCGCGCTACTGGAACTCCTCCCTGAGCCCAAGGCCAGCGGCCCGGGTCGGTTTGGTTTGTTTCCCGACTCTTTTTTTTTGCGGCGGCCAGGCCGCCGCAGATGGACACATTCCCCCACACCCCGAGGCCGGCCGCTTAAGGCAGTGATTTTTTTCGCCTTGCCCGAGCTGCGCCGGCCCCACCGCTCGTAGCGGGCCGGCTGCAGACCAAGTAGTTTTATCAGACTCGTCTTTCCCTCGGCGCCCTGTCTTGTGACTATAACTTAGACGACCCCTGCAACCAAGGCCCCCCTTGAAGTAAAACGTTAATCGCTAGGCCGCCCGCTTTGTGGAACTTGCCAGGGTCACCCCGCACGGGAAAGAAAACGTCCGCGGACGCAGTTTTCTGTCAAAACCAGTTTTGAAAACAAACGACACCCAAGCGCGAAGAAAAAGAGCCTGTTTTCGGCGCACATGCGCTTGCTTCCCCTCCCGCGGGTGACCACCTTGTCGCGGTGGGAGGGCTTAGTACCCGGTTCCGACCGGGGAAGCCAAGCGTCACCCAACTACGGCGGGCGAAGCGTTCGGCCTGCAGTCCTGGCAAGGCGGCGGGCCAGCGGCAAGCCGCGGCAGCCCTGCGGCAACGGCAGTTCGCCGGCCGCGGCGGCAGCCTAACGGCGTCCCCGGGCGACCCTCGAACGAAGCCGTTTGTAAGGCGCGGCAACTGAGGCCCAGGCGCGCTTTTTTGTGCCGGCTGCCGCCCTCGCCAACAAGGCGGTCGAGAAACCGTGAAATCAGAAAATTGCCGCAGCGCGCTTCCGCTGCCGCCTTTACACTGCAGCAGGCACGCAGTGGTGTCGGGTCACTGTGCCCATGAACCGCCAGTCCGCGTCCTGCTGGACGCGGGACATCGCAACGTAGGCCGCGGCCTGAACCCAGAGAGCATCCAACCAGAAGGTCGCGTGGGCCAAGCGCGTGAAAGTTGCAGCTGCGCTGGCTTGAGCGCAAAGCTTCACTGCGCTAGACTGGGGCGGTCGCGCGCGTTTGGGCTAAGCGGTCTTCACGCGCGGTGCTCTGCTTGAGGCTCCCAAAGGCCGGCAAGGGGCCTCAATGCTCTGCTTGAGGCTCCCAAAGGCCGGCAAGGGGCCGACGGCTGTAACGACTGTGAGCAAGCGTTGGGCCATAGGCTTCAACGGCCGGAACAGACTTGTCGCGAGGTCGAAAGGGCAGACCCTTTCTTGATGTTACCAAGGATTTTTGCCGAGTGGCAGCCCAATTCCTCATTTAGGCTACGGCTGGCCAGATTCATATGACCCCGTATAAAGAATTCATCAGCGGCCGGGCCAAGCCATTTGCAGCCCCCACAGCCGCTTTAGCAAGGCCAATAGCCATTTTATGAAGGCCAACGGCCATGTTATCAAGGCCAATGGCCGTCAAAGCAAATAAGGCAAGTGGCTATTTTTATCAAGGTCAATGGCCGTTTTATCAAGGCCGATGGCCGTTTTATCAAGGGGAGCTTCGACGCGTTTCACAGCCAGGTTAGGGTCTAGGACCTAGGTTTTAGGGTAATAGAATATTGCTTCGCATATTCTGTGCCTGCAGGCACGGTCCCAAGAGAAGGGAGGCCCTTGGGGCAGCTGCATAGCTGCTGGCGCTTTATTGGCAATAGCTTGGAGGTATTGCCCAGGCTAAGCGCGCCGTGCGCTCACGACTCCATGTCGCTCTAAGCGGGCGGTCAGTCGTCGCGAGCTTTAAGTTTAGGGTCCGCCAACACAGCTTGGCGCCCAACAGAAAGGCCTTCGAATCCCAGGGAGAGCAAAAACAGCGAATCGCTTTGCTCTATAGGGGGGGTGCGCCCTGGTGCCTTTTAGATAAAATGGTCTACGGGGCCTTTTGTAGAGCAAAGCGGTCTTTTTGAGACAGCGCCGATTGCTTTCCTAGTAGGGGGTCCGCCCTGGCGCCTTTTAGATAAAATGGTCTACGGGATTGCCCGCGGGCTCTCCCGGGCCGCCCTGGGCCGGGCCCCGGCGCTTTGCCCCGCTCTTCTTCCAGGTGGCTCGGGGCAAGTCGCGCGTCTGCTCAGTTGCAAAGTAGCTACGCGACCGCGCCCGCGCGGATCGAGGCCATCGCGCCGACCACGGCCCCGCTTTGAGCCCAGGCCAGCAGCGGCGATCGCAGATGTCCCTCCCCCGCCCCCCTTGATCGAGACCGCCACGCGCGCTCTTTTTCCTCGCGCGCTGCAAGTTGGCTGTCTTCGCAAAGTCTTCCCCGGACAATCGCAGCGACCTATTGGGAGCCGTCGCCGCGCCTTGGCCTGCATTTCGGGCAAAGCCTCAAGCGCTTCTGGCCAGCCTGGCGCCGCTCGCTCCACGGCCCGCCGCATTTGCGGCACTTGCATTGGCCTTTGGCCCAGGAGCCGCGCGAGGAGCAATTCATGCACCGGCGGGCTCTCTCGGAATTTTCCGCGAGCTTGCCGGCGCCCGGCGGAAAGAACGCCTCGCCAGTTTGACAAGCGAACCAGCCAGCGCGGTCTTCTTCCTTGCGCTTTTCTCGCAGAAGACGCAAGCGGCCGCCCAAGGCATGGTAAGACGCAAGCGGCCGCCCAAGGCATGGTCGCCATCGCGCTGTTGAATTCGGAAATCGGCTTTTCGCTCAGACAAGTCGAACAGCTCAAGGCGCAAACCTCCTTCAAACACTTGAGACAGCGGCGCTTCGCTCAGAATCGTCCTGCTGAAGCTGCGCCCGTGGGAAAGCGTCCTCCAGCTTCCGGAATTTACACCCGCGGCAGTCCAAGCGCGCCAGGCCGGAGGGCAGCTTCCGCTTCAGCGTCTTCTGCTCGCCCTTGCCGGGGCCGCAGGCAAGGCAAATGGCCGAGCGGTTGGCCCGGACGAGTCCAGCGTCTTGGCCTCTTTGCATTTCTCGCACGCCGCGGAGCTCGCAGTTGCTGCAGCAGGAGCGCCGGGCCCTCCGGCGCGCCACGCGTGTAGAGCCAGCGCTCGAACGGCCTGCGGCGAAGCGACCTGCTTTTGTTTCCCTCCCTCCCCCGCCCCCCCCTTCCCTCTTTCCCGCGCGCGCCTCAAGATCAAGACGTCCTCCCTGGAGCGGACCCTGCTCGCAGCCACGGTCCCGAAGGTCACGTCAGTCCGCTTGTCGACGTTGAAGCCCACTAGCGCCGCAGGCAGCGTCTTGCCCTGGCTGCCGTGGGCCGTGATCGCGTAGGCCGGGGCCAGCGGCAGCTGCGTCCGCGCGATCTTGAGGACCGGCTTCTTGTGCTTGGCGTCCAGCTTCCAGACCTTGCGGGCGGGGTAGACCGGGTAGAGGCCGGGCTCCGGCGCCCCGTCGAGCTGCCAGGTTGCCCCGTCAAACTTCACATAGACGCAAGTCGGCCGCAGGTCGTTCTCCTTCCAGACCCAGGAGTGGATGCGGCCGGCGCTGCCTCGGAGGAGGAGCTTGTCCTCGGCGCGATCGAGGTGGTCGGCCAAGACCACGCGCATCCCGACGGCTAGCGGCAGCATGCCGGAGAGGTTCTCGGTGTCCCGGTCGTGATACTGGAGCCACCGGACCCGCGCGGCCTTGTCGCACTCCTGCGCGCGCAGGGAAGCCCCCCTCGCGCCCTGAACTTTTTCTCCCGCTCCCCCCGCGCCTGCGTCTGCAGAACCTCGGCGGACGGCGCGTCCAGGGCCACAGACCAGCGGAGCGGCGACTCGGCCGCGCGGCTGTAGTCCTCGGCGCGGTCCTTGTTGATCTGGTATTTGGCGTCGTTGTTGGCAACAATGGCCGCCGCCCACCGGAACTTCTCTTCTCCCAAGCGCGGGTCGCCCGGCCCCGCAATGACCCGGCGCCGGGACTCGCGCTCTGCCGCGGTCAGCCGGCAACCTGCGACGGGCTTGCCGTGGAGGTAGCGCCAGTTCTCCTCCGACAGCTCGCCGCGCCGCAGCTCGTCCACGACCTCGTTCCACCAGTCGTCCTTGCAGCGCTCGCGCTCCTCCAGCTCCGTCACGCCTTGCAAGGCGCCGCCCCACACCAAGTTTCTGCCGTAGTCCGCCAACAGGTCCGGCTCGGCATCGGCGGCCGCGCTCAGCCGCGGCGGGCGCCGGCTGCTGGGCACGTCCGCAAGGTAGCCGCCGCTCGGCGGCGGCAGCTGGTAGAAGTCGCCAAGCAGCAGCACGTTGACGCCCGCAAAAGGCCGCGACTCCCCGGCCACGCCGCGCTTCCACTGGCTGGCCGACGGGACCACCGCCCGCAGCCGCTGCTCGACCTGTCGCTCACTCAAGAAAAGAAGGGCGGGCCGCGAGCGAGACGGCCCCTTTCCCGCGCGCCTGCGCCAGCAGCCGCGCGTTGACCATGCTGACCTCGTCGACGACGAGCCATCTCCAGTAGCTCATTCTCTTTGCCGCCTCCTGGCTCACGGCGCGGTCCAGCGCGGCCGCGTCGACGCCAAGGCCGCAGGCGTTGTGGAGGGTCCGCCCGCGAACGTCGGCCGCGTTGACGGCCTGGAACGCCGCCACCTGCCGCGAAACGACTTGGCGAAGCAGCAAGCCGGAACCCGCGCGCGCCTCGTCTGAACTGGCAACTGTTCATGTTTTTAAAGCTTTTTTTGCATTTTGCATTTTTCCAGTTTTTCGCGGGCATTTGTTTCTCGATTTATGTCGCTGAGGTTGACTTTAGAGAAGTTAATTGTTTGGGTTTCAAGTTGTTTTTCGGTGGGAAGGGGGGGGGGGGCAGGACGGGACAATAATAATGCGCCTGTGTGCCCATTGTTGCGAAAGGCTTGATTCCTGCAGCATCGTTTTTCGCTGGCTGCTCGCCTTCGGAGAGTCGGAACGGAATTATCTTTTTTCATCTCGTTTGTTTGTTGTTTGAGGGCTCGGTGGCTTGCCCCGCCCCACCCCCCCTCCTCCCAAGCCCATCAATGATTGACGTTGTTGCGTTTGCTTGCGCGGGTTCGGTGGCTTGCCCCGCCCGGCCCCCTTAAACAAATCCTTTCGCTGGTTTTGGCGGCATGCCCCATCCAGCAATAGGGTGCCCAGCTCCCCCTTCCTCCAAAGTGAAGCCCGCCAACGATTGAAGTTGTTGCATGTGCTTGTGCTTGCGGGTTCGGTGGCTTGCCCCGCCCGGCCCCTACGCCTTCTGCAAGCAAGAGGGAAGGCGTCTCAGGGCAAAAGAGTCTCACAGGAAAGCTGTGAGCTGACGAACGGACATGCGTGATGCGACGCAAGAGCCGCCCAAGTCGTATGTTTCTTGCGGATCATATTTTTCAAGCGGATAGATGTGTTTTTGCAGAGCAGATATGCTTGTTGCGGTGTGCGCTTGCGGGTTCGGTGGCTTGCCCCGCCCGGCGCCCACAATGACTTACGCTGGTTTCGGTGGCATGCCCCATCCAGCAGTAAGGATTCAGAAGGGGCGCTTCTGAAGCCGCCGCCCTTTTCCGGAAGCGTTCTCAGAAAGGCTTTCGTGTGTAAGGGCGGCTCGAAAAACAAGACTTTCGTGGGAAGTCTGCCTGCAAGCTGCGGGCGCGCGCATTGTTACTACCAGACTTTTAGTGGGGCCTGGCCCCACGCCAAATCTGGACTAGTGACCTTAAAGTTTTCCTGATTGTGCGGTTACACAGACTCAATGGCGACAGCTCAGAAGGCAGTTGTTTTCTATTGCTTCCAAGGTTTGGTCACTGCGGCCCGCTTGCAAAACCATCCGTGCTTGGCAAGTCAAGACGCGCTGTGTTCGCTTGGCGGCTCTTAGACAAGTTAGCAGGCGCGGCCGGGTTTTGGTGGCTTGCCCCATCACTGGCGTGAAAGCTGCAGCCATGTCGATTGCGCTCGTTGCTGGCGTCATCGTAGGTTTCTTCATGGGCGTGGTTGTGCCAATTGGCGGGAAGGGCCTCAAAGGCGGCAGCGCGGCGGGCAAGGGTCAGACTGACGAGCAAGGCAGCCGCAGCAGCGACGGCGTTGGCGGCTTACCTCAGCCTGGAAAATAGTCTTCACATGAATGTCGTGCGGCAGTACCTCTTCGGCCGCTTGTGGGCACACATGCAGAGCCCAAGCAGTCAGCATTACGCTGCAGAGCTGCGCGACGCTCTGCAGGCCAGTGCTTTGTTTTATGCACAGACGCAGTGTTTATTCTGCTGCTTTAAACCAAGTGGTCTCGCCGTGCCTGCTAGCAAATCACAGTGCCCCCTCCCTAAAAAGAGGAGGTTGGTGTTGGCTTCCCCTTGGTTTTCCTGTTCTGGCAGATCCTGTAAGGGTCACGACTCTTGGACCCTCAAGATCAAGCCATTTCAGGCCCCATCGACACTAGGGTTATGCAACAGTGCCTACTGGGTAGCAAGATGGTCCAGTGGTCCAGTGGTAAAGTTTTCCAGTGGCTTACTGGACCACTGCACCAACAAGCAAACTCACAGTTGATGATTTCTCTGAGTTCAGCACTGCGCAGGCAGTAGCTCTGCCTTGCCTGGCGTGGCATTGGCCCCCTTTCAATGCCATGCCTTTCCATGTGGCCCTGCTACTCCCCCAATGTGTCATCAAAGCTTAAATAGCAAAACTGTGGCCCTTCCTGGCACAACCTTTGGAGGTGTCTAATAATTATAAGAAGCCATGCGCTCTGAACCATGCAGCTGTACTCGCAAATGCGCCAGGCAGACCTCCTCATGCTGCAGGGCAAGCCGCTGCAGCTGCTGCTTGCGCCAGGGCATGTTCCATGTTGGCGTGTAACATGTGCTTTGGACATGCCACTCCTGTGCTCAGCTCTTCAGCACAGGAGTTTCATGTCAGAAGCACATGTCAATCTTCTCAGTAATATGAACATGCACACACAGAAGCACACATGTAACCAATGAGGGCAAACAACGCACCACATGTGTGTCACAACCATAGTGCCTACCCACCCAATGCTCACTGTATTGTAGCCATATCAAGCACTTAATCAACGCACACGTGTGGAAGCTATGCAGGCAACTTACCAACCCTCATGTGTGTAGCAATGATACTGGATGTGCATGAGTCTGCGGATAATGGCTCTGTGCTCCTCACATGCTTCTCATGTGTTTGCTAGAAACACATGTGAAGCATCTGAGAAACACTGGGCACTGAAATGCGCATGGTTTTATGGCCAATTCTTGGCTTATGGTAAACACGTACATGGCATGATTATGCCGAATTGTTGTGCCAAAATGGTCTGATTTTCCCCCATAATGTGCGCATGTGCTGTATACCAGTTACCTTTTGCTAGTATACCACTTCCATGGGTCAGAGTTTAGAAGTTAATTGTTTGGGTTTCAAGTTGTTTTTCGGTGGGAAGGGGGGGGGGGCAGGACGGGACAATAATAATGCGCCTGTGTGCCCATTGTTGCGAAAGGCTTGATTCCTGCAGCATCGTTTTTCGCTGGCCCCCCCCCCTTTTTTCCTTTCTCTCTTTTTTCCCCCCTTCTTTTTTTTCCCCCTTTTTTTCCTTTTTCCCCCCCCTTCTCTTCTTCACCTTCCCCTTTTTTTTTTTTCCCTATGGCTGCTCGCTTCGGAGAGGTCGGAACGGAAAATTATCTTTTTTCATCTCGTTTGTTGTTTGAGGGCTCGGTGGCTTGCCCCGCCCCACCCCCCCTCCTCCCAAGCCCATCAATGATTGACGTTGTTGCGTTTGCTTGCGCGGGTTCGGTGGCTTGCCCCGCCCGGCCCCCTTAAACAAATCCTTTCGCTGGTTTTGGCGCCATGCCCCATCCAGCAATAGGGTGCCCAGCTCCCCCTTCCTCCAAAGTGAAGCCCGCCAACGATTGAAGTTGTTGCATGTGCTTGTGCTTGCGGGTTCGGTGGCTTGCCCCGCCCGGCCCCTACGCCTTCTGAAAGCAAGAGGGAAGGCGTCTCAGGGCAAAAGAGTCTCACAGGAAAGCTGTGAGCTGACGAACGGACATGCGTGATGCGACGCAAGAGCCGCCCAAGTCGTATGTTTCTTGCGGATCATATTTTTCAAGCGGATAGATGTGTTTTTGCAGAGCAGATATGCTTGTGGTTTAGGGTTTAGGGTTTAGGGTTTAGGGTTTAGGGTTTAGGGTCAATCCGATTTCAGGAAACGAGCAACACTTGGAACGTTGGACCCACAGCTGTTGGCTGGAAAACACCACCCGCCCAAGCTCCCAAAGTATTCGGGGCCCAAAAACACATTTGGTTAAAAAGAATCCGGGCGCCCGCAAGTCGAAAGCGCCGCAGGCCTGCCATCAACATGCGAGCGCAAAAGCGTGGGTGGCCGCGAGCGGCCAAAAAATGAGACTCTTGATCGCAATTTAATAGGAAATCGACAATCTCGAATCGGCTGCACAGGTTATTAGGAAATCAACGAGCTCGACTTGGCGGCATAAAATCCGGATGACCGCAGATCGACCAAACAAATGCGTTTCTCAATGAACAGTGTAATAGGAAACCGACGAGTTCGAGTTGGTTGCCCAAAATTGTAAAAATGTGATTGCAAAAGTCCGGATGACCGCAGATTGACAAAAAATGCGTTTCTTAATAGACAGTTTAATAGGAAATCGACGAGTTCAGGTCGGCTGCTCAATTTTGCAAAAATGTGACTACAAAAGCCCGGACGACCGCAGATCGACCAAAAAATGCGTTTCTTAATAGACAGTTTAATAGGAAATCGACGAGTTCGGGTCGGCTGCAAACAATTGGAAAATGCGAGCGCAAAAGTCCGGATGACCGCAGATCGACTAAGAAGTGCGTTTCTTAATAGACAGGTTACTAGGAAATCAACCATTTCGATCGGCCGACGATTTTGAATCAGCCGGCCATTCTTTTTTAAATCTTACGTACGAACGAAACATTTTAGATCAAATGCAAGAAGTTTGCCACTTGCAGCTTGAAAGAAAGACCGATTTATCGCAGCGAGCGCTAAAAAACCAAAAAACCTCGAGTTTTTTAGAGTTGGCAGCCGGAAACCATGAAAAAAACCTGCTAAAACCTCAGAAGCAAAGCAAAACACCTTGAGTTTTTTAGGTTTTCCAGAAGAAAAATGCAACACTCCCCACAAGTGCCGAGAGGGTTCACTTTGCAAATTGAAAAAGCAAAAAAACCTTGAGTTTTCCACGGTTCGAACCCGGAAATGACGACAGGGCCAGCAAATTTTGAACAGCAAAAAAACAGCAAAAAACCTCGAGTTTTTGAGCCTTGGAGCTCCGAAATAATGGCAGGGCCAGCAAAAACCAGACAGAACATAAATCGGGTAAAATTGTATAGGGTTTAAATTAATATAGAAACTAATTGTTTAGGGTTTAGGGTTTAGGGTTTAGGGTTTAGGGTTTAGGGTTCACAGGATTTGAGACATGGAAATCTTCATAGCGACGTCAATCAAAAGTTTCGATATCAATCCCACCCACCCAGGCCCGCTACCAAGGGCCAGCTTCCACACCAGCGCAAATCAACAAATCGAACGCAGCGTGACCGACGAAGTAGGTGACGAGTTGCAAAAATTGGCGAGCAGCGAACAAGCCGAATTGGCAGGCGGCAAGCGGTATGTTGCAAGGGCAGAGAGTAGCTGCGAGTTTCTGCGCGCAAGGGGCCGGCCGAGTTGCAGCACGCCCCGCCAGCTTGGAAGTTCTGCGCCGCGCGAAGCCAAGAGCGTTTCGGCCGCGACCGCGAAAGTGCTCAGAGAGCTGATCAAGCGTAACGGCGCTTTTTTGATTGCCGGGAGTGGAAAACCACGGCGCGGCCACGAAAAACATTGCCCAGCAGCGCCCGCGGCCCACGCGCGGGCAAAAAGCCCTGACCCAGAAAGCGCGCAAGTTTAGCGCGTGCAAAATTTGGCGACTTCTGCCCGAACTTGGATTCGAGCAGCAAAACAGACTTAGAAACCTGCGGCAAACACAGAGAACCGAAAAGAAAGCTTTCAGAGCGCGCGCCGACTCAGCGCAAAGCGCGCGCCAGGGAGGAACCGAGCCCGGGACCGCCCGCTTCAGAGACGGACGCACGACCACTAGGCCACCAGCCCCGCGGCGGGGCCCCGGCGCGCCCACGGTTCAGCCGCGGCCAAGAGGGCCCGACCTAGAAAGCGCGCAAGTTTAGCGCGTAGCAAAATTTGCGATTTTGGCCCCGAACTTGGATTTGAACAACGAAACCGATTTAGAAGCTTGCGGGACACGCGCAGAACTGAAAAGAAAGTCTTAAGAAAGCCGCCTGCGGGCGCACCCGTTGTAGGGCAAACATTTAAATATATATACTAGAGTAGAGAATAGAGGTTTAGGGTTTAGGGTTTAGGGTTTAGGGTTTAGGGTTTAGGGTTTACAGGATTTGAGACATGGAAATCTTCATAGCGACGTCAATCAAAAGTTTCGATCTCAATCCCACCCACCCAGGCCCGCTACCAAGAGTCAGCTTCCACACCAGCGCAACTCAACATATCGAACGCAGCGAAAGCAAAGCGGCGAGAGGGCGCGCGCGCGCGCAGCGCGACCGACGAAGTAGGTGACGAACTGCAAAAATCGGCAAGCGGCGAACAAGAGAAATTGGCAGGCGGCAAGCAATGCCTTGCAAGGGCAGAGAGTAGCTGCGAGTTTCTGTGCCCAGGAAACTACGTCCGCTGAGAAGCGCTTCATGAAGCAGCCCCAACGGCTAGGCGATGATTTCGAGTTCGCGTTTAGCTGCAACGCCCCGCCAGCTTGGAAGTTCTGCGCCGCGCAAAGCCAAGAGCGTTTCGACCGCGAAAGTGCTCAGAGAGCGGATCAAGCGTAATGATGACGAAAGGCTGCCGCGCCTTCTGGATTGCCGGAAGTGGAAAACCACGGCGCGGCCACTAAAAAAGTTGCGGCAGCCCGAAACAACGACGGGGCCACGAAAAACACGCGCGCGCAGGAGGAGACGAGCCCGGGACCACCCGCGGACGCGCGACTGCTAGGCCACAGAAGCTGCGGCGGGGCCCGCCGCGCCCGCGGCCCACGCGCGGGCACGAGGGCCTAACCCAGAAAGCGCGCAAGTTTAGCGCGCGCAGTATCTGCGCAAACTTGGATTCGAGGAGCAAAACAGATTTAGAAACACAGAGAACTGAAAAGAAAGCTTTTAGAGCACGCGCCGACTCAGCGCAAAGCGCGCGCCAGGGAGGAACCGAGCCCGGGACCACCCGCTTCAAAGACGGACGCGCGACCACCGGGCCACCAGCCCCGCGGCGGGGCTCCGGCACGCCCGCGGTTCAGCCGCGGCCAAGAGGGCTCGACCTCGAAAGCGCGCAAGTTTAGCGCGGTGCAAAATTTGCGCTTTTGGCCCCGAACTTGGATTTGAACAACGAAACCGATTTAGAAGCTTGCGAGACACGCGCAGAACTAAAAAGAAAGTCTTAAGAAAGCCCCCTGCGGGCGCACCCGTTGTAGGGCAAACATTTAAATATATATACTAGAGTAGAGAATAGAGGTTTAGGGTTTAGGGTTCACAGGATTTGAGACATGGAAATCTTCATAGCAACGTCAATCAAAAGTTTCGATCTCAATCCCACCCACCCAGGCCCGCTACCAAGGGTCAGCTTCACACCAGCGCAACCAACAAATCGAACGCAGCGAAAGCAAAGCGAACGAGACAAATTTGCAGGCGGCAAGCGATGTGTTGCAAGGGCAGAGAGTAGCTGCGAGTTTCTGCGCGCAAGGGGCCAGTAAACTACGTCCGCTGAGAAGCGCTTCATGAAGCAGCCCCCACGGCTTGGCGATGATATCGAGTTCGCGTTTAGCTGAGGCGCAGCACCCCCACCAGCTTCGAAGCGCAAAGCCAAGAGCGTTTCGACCGCGAAAGTGCTCAGAGAGCAGATCAAGCGTACTGATGACGAAAGGCTGCCGCGCTTTCTTGATTGCCGGAAATGGAAAACCACGGGCGCGGCCACAAACAGCGTTGCGGCAGCCCGAAACTAGACGGACGCACGACCGCCAGGCCACGGCGGGGCCCCGCCGCGCCCGAGCTGGAAACTCGCGGGAAACACAGAGAACTGAAAAGAAAGCTTTCAGAGCGCGCGCCGACTCAGCGCAAAGCGCGCGCCAGGGAGGAACCGAGCCCGGGACCACCCGCTTCAGAGACGGACGCGCGACCACTAGGCCACCAGCCCCGCGGCGGGGCCCCGGCGCGCCCACGGCTCAGCCGCGACCAAGAGGGCCCGACCTAGAAAGAGCGCAAATTTAGCGCGCGACAAAATTTGCGATTTTAGGCCCGAACTTGGATTTGACCAACGAAACCGATTTAGAAGCTTGCGGGGCACGCGCAGAACTAAAAAGAAAGTCTTAAGAAAGCCGCCTGGGGGCGCACCCGTTGTAGGGCAAACATTTAAATATATATACTAGAGTAGAGAATAGAGGTTCAGGGTTTAGGGTTTAGGGTTTGTAGACGACTGGGGGGAGCGCTTCGTTGGGTGTGAGACACACCCCAACTCACTCCGCGCTCCCCAACTGGCGGGAGCCGGTTGCCCACCTTGACCACCCGGATGTCAAGCAATTTAGGGTTTAGGGTCATCAACCCCCTGGCGTCCCCCAATCTTGGGGAACAAGTTGCGTCGCGGACCTCGCGCCCGCTCTTGACGTTTGTCTTCCGCCAGTTCGCAGCTCGCGGCTTGCGTGTTGCGCGCGGAGCTCGTCTGGGCCTCAAAGATCTCGAAGAAGACTTGGTTCGGCCTTGGGGGCTGACGTCTTGTAGACGCTTCGGTTTTGAGTTTCGCGGAGAGCAAATCGACAAAGGGCCGCTCGAAGCTTGACATGGTCCGGGGCGGTTCATCGACAGCAGCCACGCGTGGTCTAGCGAAGGGGGCTGGCCTTGATAAAACGGCCATTGGGGGGGGGCCGGTCACGATCCGAGGGGGGGCCGGTCGCGATATATTTTGACCGGCCCCCCCCCCAGGGGTCGGTCGCGATGTACGAAAAGGGGGCCGGTCGCGATCCGTGTCACGACCGACCCCCTCCCGGGGGGGGGCCGGTCAAAGTGTATCGCGACCGGCCCCCCCGGATATCGCGACCGGCCCCCCCCCGGTCTGACAATTTCATATAAAAAACACGCTTCGGAGGCGCCGGGAAGCTTTCGGAGGCAATCTAGAAACGACCAATCGCGAGGGTTTCCAGAACCATTGAGTAGAGAACAATCTTACGAACTATGCTAGGCGACAACGTTTTCTAGTTTTTACTTTTGGCATTTCGGTCGGCCGGTCAGCACTTGCCACTTCCGTCGGTCAGCCCGCCCCCTGTCAGGACCCGCTGGGCAGCCTCGGCAACTGCGGCCGCTGAGGACGTCCTGCCCGTCAGCAACCGCGCGGGGCGGCGGCTGGAGAGGGCCCTTGCAAGGCCTCCCCAGTGACCGGCTAATTTCACACGGTCTCACATTTTTCCCATGGTCGAACTAGTCGATAAGACTTATGCATAGACACTGTCGACTATTTCGAACCATCAAGGACATGGCTGAGCAAAAAGAAGAAATGAAAGGTAAGAGTGATCAGCGGTAGACCCCGCAAGTCACGGCAAGTTGGGCCTAACAGTGAAGCAAATGCGCGTGGGAACTGCGCAACCAAGCCCTGGAGAGAACTTGCAGAGAGCTTGGAGAGAGCTTGATTCTCGAAACTCGTCCCGCAGCTTTGGCTCTATCATATCCTGTTGAGACCTTCAGTTCTTGAGTCTGACGCTGCGGCCTTACGCGCAATCAACCGCAAACGCATTCATTGCACCGCGCCCAGGCCATGGACGAAACCCCTCGCGCCCGAGCGTTGGTTCTGCAGGCGCGGGGCCGCCGCCTGGCTCTTATCGAAGCGCTAGCTCCTGTCAGGCTCTTGAGGGGAAACGCCTGCCGCCTCTTCCAGCAGAGGTGCTGGTGCGCGGGAACTCAGATCTTCGCACCGAGGCAGGGGCCGCGCAAAGCTTGTTAGAATTGGAACTGTAGTGCGCCAGGCTGAAGTGGCCTGGTGGCGTGTTCGCCAGCTACTGGCCCACGCTTTACCCGCCTTCCACTTGGTGCTGGAGCTGGGAAGGGCGCGGCTGCGCGACACTTTGCTTGCTCCGCCTTGAGGCCCTATCCCACCTTGGAGCGGTCCGTGTCAGCTGGGGGCCGCTTCCGGACGCACGCGAGGCTGGTGGGAGGATAGGGGGCGGTCCACAAAACATGTGTGTGTCTGTGCGCGCAAGGATCGCTTGATGTGGCACTCGCGGGGCGGGGTCCGCTACACGGACCCCATGAACTCCGTGTACTCCGAGGTGTGGCCGCGCTGGACCTCGGGGGCGCGCTGGGCCTCCCGCACTGGACCAGCGCGGAAACGCGGGGGGACTTGCTTGAGGCAAGGGTGAGGCTTGCGCGCTCGCCCGCCCCTCCCGCTCCGCCAGGTTGTGCTGGGGGTGAACTTCGTGCTGCAGACGCAGCGGCACCACCCTCTTCTGCCTCGGTTCACGCACGCGGCGGGCGTGCTGCAGGAGGAGGCGCCGCTTGCGGTCGAATCGGGGGGTGCTGACTGTGACTGGCCAGGCGGTGGAGCTGGTGCTGGACCCCCCGGCGGGAGGGATGCGTGGCTGCCACAACGCTCCGCAAGTTGCCGGATGTCGCCGGAGCCCCAGCCCTCATCACCACCTAAATATGCTTGGGCACGTCAGGTGCATCCGCACTCCTGGTGAGCGGCCCCGGCCACCACAAAGCTGCTCGGCGAAGACTTCTCAATTTGCAGTCGCCAGCAAAAAGGGGAGCGCAGGGCGAGCCGAGGGATTGGAAATCCGGTCGCAGAGGTTTGAACAAGCTTTCAAGGCGTCGCTTTTGCTGTCGAGAATTGCGACACTCTCCAAAGCGTTCCCAACCCAATTCGGACGCCCAGAGCTTCAGTCAGACCTCAGACGCCATGCCGCGCGTCTGCTCTGGGCTTGCGCTGGAGGACGGCGCTGCCACGATGAGGTGCATCTTTGCGGAGAAGAAGAGCGGCCAGCGCTCCCGCGCGGGGCCAGCGGGAAGTGCCTGTTCTGCGACCCGCGCGCCCTGCCCGCGGCCTGCCGGACGGAGAAGGGCCAGAACAGGGCTGTCCAGTTGCTACGCGCCTTTCGCAAGGTCTACGAGGACAAGCCGCACATCTACAACTCCGCGATGATGCGGGTGCCGGAGGAGCTGCGGGAGGACCTCCACGCGCGGGCGCTGGCCGGGGCTCGCCCGCCCGCACGCGTGCCGCACGGAAAGAGCGCGGCAGACTCCGCGGCCGCGGCGGCGGCGGCATGGGACGCGCAGCTGGCGTCGCGGAAACGCGCCTTGCGCCCCCTCGGCAAGAAGAAGTGGACGGCCTACAAGAAGCGGCGGACGGCAGACCGGAGCCGAGTCGTCAAGAAGTTCTACGTCGACCAGGGCCTCCCGCGGCCGGCTCCCGAGGAGGCCCGCGACGTCGCGGAGAACGACTGCGCGCTCCCGGCGCTGGAGGGCGGCGAGCGGGCCAACTTCGTGGAGGCCTGGTGCAAGCTGGGCTCTTGGGGCGTTTGCGGCAAGTGCCACTCGCTGCAGCCCGCCCGCTGCTGCCGCTGGACACGCGGCGCGTGGCGAAGCCGGACATCACTGAGAAGGCTTGCAAGCGCTGCCGGCGAGGCGAGGCTGTCCCGCAGCCGGACGACATCCCTGCAGCGCCTGAGTCCGGACATTGTGGAGGCGCTCCGGCCCTTCGAGATCGACGTGGGCCCGTTCAAGCAGGCGGAGAACGGCTTCCGGATCCACACGGCAATGTTCCGGGTGAGTTGGGCGGCGCGCAGCACGGAGGAGAAGATCCTCGAGCTGAAGCGCGGGCGCCGGCGCCGGGCGCGCAAGGCCTTCGAATACCTCATGGCGGCGGAGGAGTCCGAGTACCGGGTCTTTGCGGCCAAGCACAAGAAATTCTTGCGGAAGCATGCCGAGGCGACCGAGCGCCAACGGAAGCGGCCCCTCCAGTACATCGAGACCACAGGACTGGAGTGCGCGCTCTGGCCCCAGTTGTACTGGGCCACAGAGATGTCCGAGACTTACGAGCGCAACACGGACTCTCGCCGCCTGCAGGCCGGCGCCGCCCGGCGGAGGCCGAACGGGCAGGGCTCGGAGGACGAAGAGGAGGAGGAGGCGGCCGAGCGCCACAGCGTCAAGCGCAGCTTCCTGCGCAAGGTCCTGCAGCCATCGTCGGCTACGCCCAGGACTTCGAGCTGCTCCAGTTCGCGCACGACCTGGCGCTGTGGTCGCGCATCGGAGGCGGCAAGAACGCTTGCGCCGGCCTGCCCCTCTGTTTGGTGCTCAAGGGCGAGACGTTCTCGCCCCTGTACTGGAAGACGAAGCACCAGGCGCTGGTCGACATGCAGAGGCAGTGCGGGTTCCCAGCGCTCTGCAAGACCATGGCCCCGTGGGAGTTCAGCTTCCCGTATCACAAGTGGGTCCTGCAGGAGCTGGAGTTGGGCGGCCGCGGCCGCCGGCAGCTGGCCGGCCCGGAGACTTTGCACACGGCCCATGTCTTCCTGGAGCTGAACCGCGGCCTCTACAGCGGCCTCAACAACCGCGGCAAGGACGGCTGGAGGGACCACATCCTCGCCGGCGAGGACGGCCGCCCGACCGTGGCCAACTACTTCCAGCGCCTGGAGTTCCAGGACGGCAAGCGGAAGCTGCCGAGCCAGGACTACCACGGCAGCGGCCGCGTCCACGTCCACAGCCTGGACTACCTGCAGAACGTGGAGGCCGTCGGGCTGCAGCGCAAGATGTGCGCCGCGACCCCCGTCGCAGAGCGGCCGCTCCTGCGCGGGCTCGCGCTCGGGCGCCCCCACGGCCGGAGCGACAGCGGCTGGCCGGTGGAGCCGGGGCCGTCGCGCTGGGACCCCGAGGCGCAGATCGTCCGGCTGCAGCACTCGGAAGAGGAGAAGGAGGCCGGCTTCCGCGCGTTCTTCCCGGAGACGCTGGAAGCGACAAAGTGCCACCAGGACGTCTTGCACGGCAACGGCCACGGGCTCCTGCTCAAGTACGTCTCGACCTACACCCCGAAATTCTCGGATAGCTTTGCCCGGGAGTGGTTGAACGACGAGGCCTCAGCTTTTTCGGTGGCGCGGCGGGTCTTGTTCGACTACCAGCCGGCCGAGCCGGAGATGTGGCTGTATCTCGCGGCGCAGCAGTTCCCGCCCTGTAAGTACGGCGGGACGATGACCCCTTTCCTCGTGCCGTGGCCCGGCATGGCGGAGAAGTCCGCGGCGGTCTTGCTCTACGAGCAGTGCCCCTGGCGCCGGGAGTCGATGAGCCTCCTGGAGTACATGCGCAAGAGCAACAAGGACGGGGAGATCGCCCAGTGGCTCGTCCGCGCCTTCCGGCAGACGCCCGCCTACGACAAGGCGGCGGCCGCGGCGGACCAGCGCCGCGCGCTCACTGTCTTCGTCAACGAGGCCCCCGTCCAGGGCGAGAAACTCGTCGCCTGCGAGGTCTTGTCCATCTTCAACGATCGCTGGTTCGGGCAGTGGCTGGCCTTGCGGCGCCCCTTCCGGGACCTGGGCGAGCTGATGTGCT